GTCAGAACACAACGTAAGAGCTTACAATATATGCTTGAGATATGCGAAGCGTACAGCAGAAAGTGGCGTTTCACATTTTCTGCAGTTAAAAGTAAAATAGTGTATTTCTCTAGAAAAAAGAAGCGAAATCTTAGTACGAAATTATATCTATATGGGCATCTTCTTCCAGAAGTTGAGGATATAACACATGTTGGCGTGATGTTGAACTATAATTTTAATAGTATGGAACGTACAGTACGCGCATGTAATAAGCTCAAGAGTGGTGTCATGAGTTTAATTAAAAGTGGTGCTCATCCTTGTGCATTAAATCCTTTAACGATTAGTAAAATACTTAAATCAAAAGCATATGCTTCAGCCCTATATGGTTGTGAATTATGGTGCCTTCCAAAAACCGAAATGTTAATGTTAGAAAGAGCACAACGTTTTATTTTAAAGTCAATTCAAGGGTTCCATACAAGAACCCGTACAGATATGTGCACAGGTCTTCTAGGGTGATTAAGTTTAGAAGCATACATAGATACCAAGAAATTATTATTGTTTGGAAGATTATGTAACTTGGAGAAAAATTGTATATCTTATCTTGTGTTTTTTACTCGTCTTTTTATGGCAGTTATAGGGACCAATGTGTATAAGAATGGATTTTTGAATGACGTAATACAGGGGTGTCAGCGTTTCAGTTGACAGATATTGCGTTTTCATTCCGTTTTCATTCCATTTCATTCGCGTTTTCATTTCATTTCGTTCTCAAGATTCAATTCGTTCCGTTTCCGTCGCAGACTGTTTTTTTCGTTTCGTTCTGCTTCGTTCCATGTTAAATCCTCTCTACCCCAATCGTTCCGTTTCGCTCCGTCCCAGTCCGAGTGGAGCTTTCGTTTCGTTCCGTTCTGCACTCGTTCCGTTCCGTTCCATCGGCGAGGCGCTTGTACATTGATGTGAAACAAAATGGCGGTGGTAACTGAGGCAGCCTCAAAAACTTGTCGACTCGTGATCAGCTTTTTAAGACAACTCTTACTGTCTCTTCATACTCTTTCGATTTTGTCGCAAAATGCCTGGTAGATGCAGTTTCGTCGAGTTTTCAGGCTTAATGTACAAGAATCTCTCGAACATACTGTATGAGAGAAAAAACAATACGAATGCACATGTTGTCATGTGCGACTATTTTGCTCTCATTCGCGATAGGTACCTGTGGTTATAAGTGTGTTGTGACCCGTATCAGTATAACATGTATATTTGCATTCAGAGACATTTAAAACGAGTGATGTTACGAACCGTGCGGCTGAAGTTGCAGGATATTACTATCCCGGGGGGTGGGGGGTAAATTAGCTTACAAGATTCTTTTTTTTTTTTACAGGCCTAATGGGATATTAGTAATTAGCATACTCATTTTTTTCTCTGTTTGACAAAACCCCTAGAAAGATTGTGAAACCATAATCATATAGGCCCATACATTTTTTTATGTCAATTCCACATCTTAATTCCCATACCACAGCACAGGGACCTCAGAATTTGTTACAGCTACCTGCTATATCTGGTCATAAACTAAGGTGTTCAGAGTTTCCGAATTCGTCAATCTAAAACCCTTAAACATGTATAATTACTCTGAACACCGCCCTTAGTTTAGGTCCAAATATAGCCATTGCAAATTCTCGGGTCTCTTATATAATGCACAGCAAGTTCTGTTAATTAATAATGTTAAAATAAAAGAATATACCCAATAATATGCTTCGAATATCAAGCATATAATTATTATAGAGGGTTATTTTTTTATATCGCTATTATTATTAATTATTAACCGAATTCAGACTCATTTGACCACATCATGATTATAAAAACCATTATAGTCAGTACATTAAACCTATTTCAGCAGATTCGATAAGGTCGGTCTGGGATTTCTGAACTCTAGATGGCACTCTGATTAATTGAGCTAATTACTGGTTGCCAGCGATCCACCTACTCCAGTTCCGCTTACATACATTCCTCCCATAGTCTTTGACTCCGAGGACATGAACACAAAATCCTTATATGGGTATTGCCACCAAACCAAGATTCAAACCTATGACCTCCAAACTCTTATACATGACAATCTTAACCAAAGGAGCTTCCTGCTTCCTGGTGATTGACAAAGTCCAATGCGGCAACATTATAAAGCATCAATCTGATAGTGATTTTGTCTGTGTTTAAGAAAGCTATCAAGATTTTCATCCTGTAACACACATGTAATGACTACATGATTTTCAAAAAAAAAAATGAGTGCACAGAATTTTGAAAACCAAGAAAATCCTTCTGCACTGAACATTTGTAGCATTACAAATACAAGTTAACATCATTAATAATAAAGCACACCAACAAACCCTGTCTCCTGCATACATGCACACAAGCAAGCGCGCATACACTATACACACATGGAGGCACGTCCTTAAACAACCTTAGCTGTTGATAGGAAGTTAAACAAAATTAAACCAAACCAATCGAGAGGAATCAATTGATATAGTGTTCAGTTTAACATCAATCAAGTTCAAATCAGTCCCAATATGTCGCACTGTATGACAAAAAAATGATCATAACTTGGAGAGCCTGGTGAAAATGCCACCTAAACTAAAGGTAAATGTTACAGACAATTATAATATATTATTTTATGTCCATCAAAACCTTGATGGGATGTTTGTGGCTAAATATTGTTTGATTTTAATGAATCTTGCTAAGCATACATGTACAATTTACAAAGACTGAGCAAGTTTAAAGCTGAGCAAAATCTGTGCATTATTAATTAGCATAATGTCCCCTGATTGGTTGATGGTTTAAGTTTTCTGCACAACAACCATGACAGGATTTTGATGAAACTTTGTCAATATTTGTATTATAAAAAAAGCAAAGACTAAATTTGAATTTTAGCAAAATCTGTACATAATTGATTAGCATCCCTAGTTTCCACAAGCTAATTTGCTTAAATGTCATTCAAATGTTATCAAACTTTGTAATCATGTACAATATACAAAGACTGAGGCTAAATAAAATTTGAAGTTCAGCCATATATGCACATAATTATTTAGCGTACTAATATTATGTCCAGATTTTTTTGGAACTTGGTCAATATTTTATATTATAGAAAGACAAAGGCTGAGTTTAAAGTTCAGCAAATTCTATGCATAATTAATTATCATACTCTTGGTACATTGGATTGAATCTGCACAATACCTTAATGAAATGTGACTGGATATTGATGATAAGTGGACTCTGTTTAAACCAAACACCAGAGGGACCATATTATTTGGGTGGTTTGTAGAGAGTTCCGGATTGTAGAGGGTTCCGGTTTGTAGAGAGTCTGCTTCAACATTATTTCTGAATTCTTGTTAAGAATACAATCAATTTTACCCATGCGATATAACCCTCCCAAATGTGTCAGTCAGGTGTGTAATAATTTACCTGTATCAGCCTAATGTGTTATAACATAACTTGTATCAGCCCTGTGACATCACAGCCTGTATCAGCCTGGTTAAATATCCAGATTTTAATCTGTATTATAGTTTATATTGCGCCTGATTCCAAAACAAGTACGTGGTCTGCTAATGGAGACCAAGTTTATAGACACTTGCAAACAGAATAATTAAGCTAGATGATCACTTAACACAAAAAAACTTCAGGAAAAACATTTGCGAATTTTTCTTCATTTGCGAATCGGTAAGCGATAGAAAACTTGTAGCCAACTGGTTATCTACACAAAATGAAAACAGATAGATTGAAATAATTTCTCCCCCACAACTAGAAAATTATCTTGCCCATTTTGTTTTATTGTCCATCAGGAACGCAGAACACAAACTACAAACCAGAAACGCTTTGTTCTCACAGAGAAGAAATATTCCTTTTACATAATAAATGGCGATTTATTCAGTAAATGTAATACAAAATCTATATTTATCATATACTTGTTAAGAATACAATGAATTTTATCATAAAATTGATAAATTATCATTAATTAAATTTGAAATTTTGTTCAAATAAAATTTGAAATATTATCTGAAACATCTCTGTTGTATTCTTAACAAGAATATCATAAATAGTTTAAAACATGGCCATTTTTATATCATACCCAGTATTAACCTTTGATCCCGACATCAGCCCTCAGTCTCTTGGGCTGATATCAGGGTCTTGAGTGAATATGGGGTAAAATTAGATGTCACATATTTTCCTACAATCTCATTTGTAGGATCCTTTGTGGTATTGACTAAATGTTACTATATTTAGAAAAACAGCAGGTTAATATTATTCACTTATGAAGTCATTTCAATTTTAACGTCACAATGCTCGATCTCTTCCAAATGTGCAATTTTCATATGTTCCATCTTATTTAATGATAACAATTAACTAAGGACTTTTATTTCGGTGGATATGTGGTTATATGATGAACCTGAGAAGCTGATATTGACCAAAATGAAGGTCGGTATCACTTTCTCAGGTCCATATAATTCTTATGACCACATATTCACCTCAATAAAAGTCTATTAATTGATAACGATATGAAAATGGTCATGTAATAAATACTGCAACAATCATTTATTGATTTTAAGTAAAGATAACATGATATTCCTAAGACAAATAAATTATCATTCCATTCATGATCACTGATATGAGCAGAATAAACTTTACAAGCTTTATAAGTAATAAGTGCTCAGATGTCAAGAGGACCAAAGTGAGCTTATGCCATACCGCGGCGTCCGTCTGTCGACAATTTCTTCAAACAATAATAGTAATAATAATAGTTTGAGGTTCTTATATACCTCTTTATCACAACCTAGTTCGTAGGTCGTGACAAGGCGGTTCATAAATTATTATCCGTGGTTATAGGGCCTTTGCAACCAGCCAATATCTTTCTCAACTCCCTAGGGAGCATACAGCCGGTGCTGCCATTTCTGCGCTCACAGCTAGCATTCTACAATTCTAGCACTGCCCAACCACATACTCATTTACAGCTGAGTAGACTGGAACAAGCCGAGTAAAGTATCTTGTCCAAGGATACAACACTGTGACGTGACTCGAACCCGCAACCCTTCGGTCATGATCCCGGCGTCCTACCACTAAACCACTGTGCCTCTAAACGACTTTTTCTCCTTAACTGCTTATTGGAATTTGACTAAATTTGACTAGGAGCATTCATAGGTGGTGGAGATTCAAAATTGTACAAATGGAGGGGCTGACACGCCCCCCCCCCTCAGGGGGCTAAGGGGCATGTCCAAAAAGGGGTTATTTGGCCATATGTTGGATATCAACCAATTGAAGTATTAACAGGTAGTGATGATTCAAAATTGTACCAATTTAAGGGCTGACCCCTAGGTCTGAGGGGCAGGACCAAACATTTTTTTTTAACTTAGATATTATGGAGATCCCAAACTTATAAGCAGGTATACAATTGCTAGCTGGGCATCAAGAAACGAATACAATTATGATATAAGAATTCCCACTGGGGTCTGGCCCCACCCCTAAGGCCTTAATTCCTGAGCCATAACTTAATGAAACAGTTGAGATCCCAACCCTATAACCATATATACTATTGCTGGGCATAACGAGACAGACACAATTATGATATTAGGATTGACTGTTGGAACTGGCCCCACCCCTAGGGACTTAACTTCTGTGCCATAACTTTAAAACTGTTGAGATCCCCACCCCATAACCATATATACGTGTGATGGGCGTCAAGAAACGAACACAATTATGATATTATTATTGACTCTGGGGTTCTGCCCTACCCCTAGGGACTAAATTGTTGCATCATAACTTTGAGACATTTGTGATACCCACCCCATAACCATATATACCATTGCTTGGCATTAAGAAAAAAATACAATATCATATATTAGAGTGGTCCCTGGGATCTGGCTTCACCCTTAGGGACTTTATTCTTCATAACTTTGAAATGATTGAGATCCCCACCCATAGCTATTTATACCATAGCTAATGGCATAAAGATCCAGGTGAGCAATACAGGCCCTTTCGGTATCTTGTTTAATGTTATTAGTACCCCACCAGTTCCTGGGGGGACTATAGGTTTGCAGTCCATCCATTTGTCCATCCTTCCATTTTTCCGTCCTTCTGTCCGAGAAGTTTGCGCAGGACATTTCTTCTATAGTATTTCATACAAGGCCATCTTGGGAATTCGGTCACTGTGACATATGACTTGACCTTTGACCTTAACTTTTGAAAAAGTTTGTCCAGGGCATATCTTGTGTACTATTTCACCTTGAGTAGCCAGATTTTGAGTACAAGGACATCTTGGGATGGTAGAGTGCAAGAAGTATGTATCGGGATACTTTCTTAACAGTATAGTTACATCCTGACATAAGTGTATTGTTTGATAAATATAGAAATCATTACCGGTGGGGGACTATGGATTGCCTTGTTTACAAAAGAAGGCAGTTAGATAATTTTGTGAACTTTATTAATACAAAACAAATTTCTGCGATAACAATTTGATGAAAATAAAATAATCTTTATAATGATTTTTAGCTCACCTGGTCCAAAAGACCATGGTGAGCTAAAATACCCTACTGCAGCATCCGTGATCTGTCAACTTTTCCTTTAAAAACGCTACATGTCCTGAACAGCTTAATGGATTTTGACTAAAATTGGCCTGGAGCATTCTTGGGCAAACGGGACTACATTTTATATAAATGGAGGAGCAGGGCCCAAATAGGGGAATTTGAGTTTTAAATATTTAAAATCCATTTGCTTTCCTTGTGAGGAAATCGGTAAAAATATCACGAACAATGACACCGGGAACATCATCAGACTGGACAAGAAAACCAATATGTGCTGCATGGACCAAATTGGAAATCTGAAGAAGTTATTCTTACTGGTATGTTTGTTTATCTTAATTAAATTTATATATATTTACATGGTGCTGTAGATTTATATATGTCTGATATTAGTAGGCAAATGATATAATTTAAAGTACAGAAATGCATAGCTATCGCAGTCCCCTTTGTGCCCGCCAGTCAGTAACGACAAAGGTGCTTACTTGACTTGTATGTTTGAAATGTAAGATAAAGTACGCACCGTGCGATAGGTGCATTGCATGTATTATGTTGTTTGCTCTGCTAACAATTTTAATATGTCAAGCTTGACAGCTCCTAGCTAGGCACTAGTTCAGTCTGTTTACCGAGATAACAACACTCGTTTCTGTCCGTTTAAAGGTAGATGTAATAATAAAAACTCGTACCCTTGAATGTTCATGGCAGTTAATGTGAAATTATATAAACAAGAAATGTGAAAATACCGAACTATTTTCATGCGATTGGGTTGGTCGAATGGTAGGATAATATCTTACTGTGTAGTGTTTAGTAAATACGGCAACAAAAATAATTGAAAGATTCGAAAACGATACGAATGTGAATATGTACATTATAACTCATTTCTAAACTTTGTAACTGCATATTTAAACTAAATCAAATTTTAGTCACAAAGCAGATTTATGTATGCGATTGAATAAAATGCAGATATATTTTTTGATTTGAAACAACATAAACCTGATGTATTTCTATGAAGGTATAAATGCACTGTATCATAGCCTATCTGTTGATAATATGATCACACTATTTCCAAGAATTAAGTTATTTTTTAATGCAGGTCATGTGAACATACGTTTGTCATATTTATATATACGATTCGTGGAAAAACAGTCACTTCCCGCTTAGTGACGTGTTCTAACAGGAAAATTAATAAAAAACAACATTATTTTCGTTGAATATATATATATTAACACAATCATAAGTTAGATTATTTCCCGTTGTTTGTTAAATCAAACAAAGACATGCTATTGTAATGATGGGAGAAAATGTGTATTAAGTTACACGTAAAGATCAGATAATCCATATTGCACGTGTAACACTTGCCGTATTTGTTGGAAATATTAAGACAGAAAGAAAGTGACAAATTATTTATGTGATTTAATATAATGCAGATATATTTTTTGAGTTGAAACAACATAAACCTGATGTATTTCTATGAAGGTATAAATGCACTGTATCATAGCCTATCTGTTGATAATAGGATCACATAATTCGTTTAACTGTGCACAAATTACTTCCACCTGCTCATTGTTAGCGGGATAAGATACTGTGAAGCTATTTTGTTGGATATCTATTCAGGCGTTTCATTTCAGGGAATCGGACATTACTTGTTATTTTTGAACATTGATCCTTAAAATAACCTTTACCTTGGCAGAGATTGTTACCGATATCAAAAATTCAGTAACCAGATTGCTGATAATCCTCCACAAACGTTTTGCTAGCCTTTCAATATAGTTTACAGGTTAATAAGATTATCTTATATTTTTGACGGTACAACCACATATAAGGTTGCCTATTGCGAAATAGATAATACATTTATTTCACATGGGTATTGCGGACGAAAATGCTAGATAAATATTTTGCAATATCAAATCACTATTTACTTCGAGTTAAGTGAGGAGCCGCCTTCTTCTATATTTACAACTAAGTTAAAGATGTGCATTGCTTAGGTTTCCTTATAAGCGTCAGCTGTAAGAAATTTCCCTGCTCAGCTCTAGAGCATCGGAATGGAGAGCCAAAGTTCGCTGGTTCGAGCCCCGACGACGGCACTATCTTTATCACTTTTCCTCGTCCTATTACAACTGTTCTAAACGAACTACAGATATTGAATGTGTATTCTGTATTAAAATATTTTACACTGACATTTGTTATAGCTTTGGCTATTTCACCGTGGTTATAACACGTTTAGATACTTTATAAAACATTTAAACTGAGAGATCAGTGTGTCCATATCAGAAAAGACTAAAACAAACTATAAATCAAGATTTGTATTTGTTTCACCCGGTAAGTACAAGCATTATCATTAGCAAATAAACTTTCGTGAGATTTTATGTATCTGTGAGTTTACACACTGTTATTGACTGTAAAAAAAATCGTAATCAGCGATGAGTAACCGCCACATGAAGGGGGCATTCAATCATACAAAATAAATCTAGACCGTTGTATAACAAACATATCACTCTGTCTCGATTAGGACGATAGAATTTACTATACTTTACCAGTCAAACAGACGGATTAATTCCTGTTTGACAATATATTTGGTGAGGTCGATGGCAACATTTCCCAGCTTACTGCAGGCAGTCCTATGAGAACAAACTCTGCCCCACTTTTTGCCGATTTGTTTCTACTTCCATATGAAGCTGAAGTTATTGCTGAGCTTATTATGGCTGATAACGAAAACCTAGTCAAGTCCACCAATTTCATGTTAGATATATCGATGATGTGCTTTCTTTGAATAACAAGACATGTTTGACCATATCGATCGTATCATCCCTCCAGAGCTGGACATTAAGGACACCGCAGACTCTTCTACGTCAGCATTCTCTCGATTATTGTTTACAATAAGACCAACAGGGAAGGCGTAATAATAAGTTTATTGTAAGCGGGACCATTTCAACTTTCCTATCATGAACTTTCCTTTTAGCTTGATAGTAACACCCCTGCTTGCCCTACCTGCATTGTTTACATCTCACAGTTGATTTTGTACTTCAGAGCTTGCCCAGGGTATCATGCCATCCGTGATAGATGTCGACTGCTGCCAGACATGCAGTTTGAATAAAGACAGGTTTAAGGGTCACAATCAGGATATTGTAGTATGATGGAAACATTTCTATAAGTAGCATACATATCTTTAACTCTGATATGATCATAATAAATAACACACTTTTGGGCGTCAAGCCAAACACTACAAAGGACATTAATAGGCTAATTAGCATAATGAATGACGAAATGTTCAATGTCATGCATAGAATGATAGATTACACAACTGACCGACGTCCTTAAAAACGATTTGTCAATGCAAAATTCCCAAGAATATTTAGTGAGAGAAATACAAAATGTGAATATCAATTTGAAAGAAACTCTAGTATAGATTTCAACGTTATAGATAATACAGAATGCCACATCAATATTAGTAAAGTTTAAACCATAGTGCATATTCTGTCTAGAGCCATCGACTCAAAAATAAATACAGGAACGTATACAAGGTATTCGGGAGCAATTAGAGTCAACACATGTACTGAACCATGTCCAGAAGTTGCTCAGACATTTCCACAATCTAGCATATTCGATTATATCAGTGAAAGAAATAATAGGGAAAACAACGCGATAATTATAACGGAGGCAAGGTACTGTTAATTGTTAATAGGCATTTTAATTCACAAAAGTCGAAATTACAGGTCATCACAAAACCGATTTGAAAATACCGCAGATGGTATTAACCCGTTTTCAATTGTTGACTTATGATACTAATCATTAATTCTCAATCTCAATAATTAAGACACATGTTGACGATTGTTTCTGTATAAAATACCCTTAGTGTTACCCATTGTGAAACAAAGTCATCACATAAAGCATACTCAATTAATAGAAAACCCCAAACAGACTGATGTTCGCCGACACCGTCGTAATGAAAAGACGTCATATTAACCGGACTTCAAACCCATTGTATTTATAGCGCTTTTACTACAAGGATCATTACGTAGCTTTGTATATTCAAGTGTTATATATGTGGTCGTTTGTATTTCAGCGAAATATTGCCAAATCTTGTACAATATCTAGGTATACCTTTCCTAACTTTGATGTAAAGTCTGATTACATTAACAGGTTTTCAAAAAGAAATACTTAAAAACTTAGTTTGTAAATAATACGTGCCATTACATAATATATTGTTTATTTTTTTCAGAACTGTCCTTTGCCTGTCTGATAAAAGAAAATGTCATTTTATAATTCGTTTTGGGTCTTTTGGGTTATACCAGAAATACCATATCGCTTTACGAGGGGCATACAATTTCTATACGTGAATACAAGAGGGGTCAAACTACGTGACATACATATGCATGATTTACCGGAGCCTCAATTTTTATTGTAAATCAAAATAAAAACATCAGCGTGTTACCTCTTAAGATACAGCATGAGCATAACAAAATAACGTAAATATATACATGTTTTGACTGAACTGTTAATCTTACGTCAGCATTATACAAAGTGCATGCACTTAGTGCGAAAAGGCGTCTTTCTTTTTAAGTCTGAATTCTTTTTATATTGAATTCAGGGTGAGACTCGTGAAATGTTCAAAGTTTATTTAAATGAACGAAATAGCTTTCCCGATCGACCCCGTCTCATACTAGTGAACATACTTTTTTTGTTTAATGTTGCCTGATAAATAAGATTTGTGTTTGTTTGTTAGGAGTTTAACGATCTCGGAAGAGCTTAGGTCATATAAAAACGATAGTATGTTTGAACTTATAAACGTCCAATGCGCTTACGTAGTTTTCATTGCATCCTTCTCTTTTTCTTTCTATATTATAGATCATCAATGAGTACTACAGGATTGCTGTGTATGGCCTAACGCCAAACGGCCAAGATGCGGGATCAAAACACTCGAAAGAAAAACTCGAAGGTAGCTTTTCATTATTATATGTGAAGGAATACAATAATGAACAACCAATTTCAGACTACAAAGGTGTAATATGATTGGATACACCTTTTATAATATACGTACTATATTACACAGACACAGTTGATCGTTGTTAACCCAGCAACCACTGTGTCGGCTGCCAATCTATCAACTCATGAACAGTGTTACGTTTAGCACGCATGGAATATTTATATCAACACTGTACCATTGTTCCAATAGTGCAGGCGCCTCACATTCATCGAGGAGGTGGATAACATATGGACTTCCCACGTTAGCATGTGCAATACTACCCATTGCATTACTGTCATGTTCAAACAAGATCCGTCACAGAGAGCGCAGTATACATATAGCGTTTGCTTATTGTCAACTAACGTGGCATATATCATGTATGTATCTAATTTCTACCATGGAAGCATTTACTAGAGACCCTTAGTTATGGTTTTCTTGGATACTATGATGTACAAGGCTAACAAATATGTATCTACACTTAGACCTAGGGGATGAAGGTAAGAGTGAAATTGAGTAAACATAGAGTAATTGAAGGTTTTTGCTATTTGTCAGCTGTTGGAGCGGTTGCCGGACATATTGGATTTGAGGCAACATCTACGGCTGAAACGCTTAATTTTTGGAAGCAGAGGAAAGACGCGGCTCATATGTTTCTTGACAACAGACGTCTGAAAAGTTCCAATGAAACAGGTAGGTAGACGAGATAGGATCGATACGCTAAAAAAATGTGTTTCCATAAAGGACTGATACAAAAAAAAAAACACTAAATAAGTCATTGTTAATATTACAACCACCATTATTAGTTAAACCAACCATACGATGTTAAAATGATACCAGACAGTTGGTTATCCAAACATAAAAGAAACAGAATCAACCCGACTTATGCATTCATAAGCGTTTCTTATTTGATGTATCTTATATTTACTTTTGGTGTCATATTTGTTTTTATTGCTGTTGTTTTTATTCATTTTTTCACATAATATCACAGGAAAACTATACGATTACACAATAAGAGCTGTCACAGCTTACAACCTCCATGTGTCCATTTCTTACTTCTCAACACAGCCCTGAATTATTACTGAGTTAATCAAATATATTATCAAATGTCCACAGGATTAACAGATGTTAATATATACATGTATATTGCCAGAACAATGCATCATTTCAATGGCTCTACATTTGTATGGGCGCTACCTTATCTAAAGTTTGAAACTTCAAACGCTATCAAATCTTAATTACACATACAAAAACTTTGAAAATAAATACAAGGAGGTGAGTAAGTGGAATGTATTGTAACTAGTTACCGTAACAAAGGTATGAGGTGTACATAGAGGTTGTTAGAAGATATCGAGAGTCGATAGTATCCAGTAGGAAAAACAGCAGTTGCACAGCTACTATGACTGCAATTGATTTATATTCCGAAAACGAGTTATTTTATTGGATTTCTCTGCCCGACGAATTACAAGTAATACATTAAATCAAACAAGTAACGTTATAAGGAATGTTTATGTGCGAAAAGGAAAATTATTACTGAAAATGGACGACATTGTGAAGACATACTAAACTTGTTGAAGTAAAAGCTTATTTGGAATGAAACAGATAACAAATTCATAGTTGACACACATCAATCACACCACCTTCGGGTACCAGCTTACAACATTTGTCCCCTTATATTTCAGAATTATCATAAAAGTATTAAATAACATATCGCATTTCAATAGAAACAAAGGCAAACATGTGTAGCATCTTTACCGTTTAAAGAAAAAACTCATAAATCATTCCCATATGACATTACAGGTTGTTTGTTACAATATATTTACTGAACAATGTGTTAATAAAGTCTAATATATCTAAAATATTTTTGAAATGTGGAACCTTTTTTTCTATAGCGATATTTGAAATATTATCAATAAACAATTTCAGTCTCTAAAAATCTGTTTTGTGAATCAATACATCGTTGAAATAATAATGTGTTAGTGTTTGTCTTAAATATCAATGAATTGATGGGTATAGTCAGCTGTGATGCACTATTATACATTACTATTCTGCATCTTTGTATATAGTATTATCCCCATCGTGGTTTATTATTGTATCCATGGCGATGTTGTTTATTGTTGTATCCATGACGATGTTGTTTATTGTTGTATTCACGAGGAGGGTTGTTTATTGTCGTATCCATGACGATGTAATTTATTGTTGTATCCATGACGATGTTGATTATTGTTGTATCCATGGCGATGTTATTTATTGGTGCATCCACGAGGATGGTTGTTTCATGACAATGTGGTTTGTACTTCTATCCATAACAAATTGGCTTATGGTTATATCCATGACGACTTGGTCTATGGTTGTTTACGATTGAGACTTGGCGTACGGTTGTATTCAAGAGGAAGAGTTATTATTGTTTTCATGCCAATCTGGTTTTTGGTTTTATCTCCGTGAAGATGTGGTTTACGGATGATCCATGACGACTTGGTTTATGGTTGTATCCACGAGGATGAGGTAAATGGTTATCTCCATGATAAAAAGAATTATGATTGTATTCATTACGTCGTGGTTAATTATTTGTTCCATTACAGATAGCAGGGCTTGTAGCGATCACGTTCATGTCCTGCGCCAAATTCGCGTTAACACTTCTAATAACATACAGAATAGTGTAATATTTGAAAGTGTTCAGTTGTTCTCAAAAATCGATCTGTTATGTTTTAAATATGAAAAAACACTAATATGCTATTTTTGTATCCAGTAATATCCGTTTAGCTTTCTTCATCATATTAGACTCTCCGTTGATTATGCAACTTGTATATATATCTTGTTTTTGTAAGTGCTGGCATTAGAAACCCAGATATTTAAACCTCATTTTCTAAAGGTAATGCGCTGAACTCGATACATTTAAATATTTTAATGCACGTTGACTTTACTCATCTTCACTTGTTTAATGTTTGGAAGACTCCCTATACAAATGAACATAGGTACGGTGATTCATCAATAGATTGTCGGCCTTAGAAGATCGTGTCTAGCAGTGTTACCTTTACACAGGTGAGTAATATTCACGTTGTTTAGAAATTGATGATATTTGATTTAAATTCTTAACATTTTTCTTAGTTATGTGGCTGATTTGAAGATTAAACGCTTATAGTGATTCATTAACTATTGATTGATCAAAATATGTCTTTATAGAAATGCAAAATGCATTTTCTAATATTGAATAATTTCATAATTTAATAAAATAATAATTTTGCTATCCCAGACTATTCATCAGTGATATGCTGTTATCACATATTTCTAGGTTCATTGTTTGTTGACCATACATGTATAACTATAATAACACCAATACATTCTTCCTGATTATCTCATGAAGACCACAAACTATATTCTCCTGCAGGTTCGGGGAAAGAATTGACCTGCTGTTTCCCACTGCATGATCGTAAGAGGCGACTAATGTGGGTCCCTAACCCCATTGCGCCATTTGGGAAAGGGTATTAAGATACGGGGTCTACGTTATGATATATTTCAGTGTGATGGCACTATAAAATGGCCACTGATTGGCCCCATCTTCTGTGGACACCGTCCGCATATGCTGTTCCAAGGACGTAAAACCCAAATGAAGTATTAAATATAAATTGTTCTGGCAAGAGATAGCCCAATACACGGTCGTTGAAGACTCCATTATTCTTGATTCAGAAACTAAATTAAGAGATCTAGGAAGGAATAATTCAGAAGAAAAACGACGAAACTCTGGATGAAGAAAAACAAAAACCAAAAAAAAACAAAAAAAACAAAAAAAACAAATAAAACAAATTATCATCATCATTGTGTTTGGTGAACCATGATTGAAACAATAGTTTATATACTGAAACTGTAGCATAAAATTGAAATTCATATAATATTTTGTATTAGACTTATGTCTAACATAGTCCGAGTATGGTCATATATAGTCCGAGTGTTTCTGATCCCAGCGAAGTAGTTTTATATCATGCGCTGTCTTCGTAACACGTGGGTGTAAATACGTTAACACAATGATTTATAACACATGCAGTGTATCATCAATGTCTGAAAAGACATTATATTTTTTTTTTTTTGCTTTAAATAAGTATATTCCTTAACAATAAACTTGGAAACATACTTTCGGCAATATAATATTCACAAATATGTTACATAAATAATAAACAATATGTTAACAGTATTGATTCCTACAATTTCTTCAAAAAGTCATATTTAAATCAGATGTTTACATGCGCAAAATTAAACAATATATTATTAGATCAATAAACTATGATGATAATTATTTCAATGTGGAATTTAAGCGTGATTCTTCGATATTTCAAAACATAAACTAAATGACTGCTTAAATTGCTGATAAAATATTTTAGAAATTAAATAAGCTCCTTCTCAATAAACATACGTTATCAATCCCCTTGACACGACATGACAACGTCGAAGGCTGATTTGAATAGTGGCTACACACATGTAGACTAACTAGTGCTCCTGTATTGTATTTGAATTTATAAATAAAGGAATTTTACGCACCTGCCTCCCCCTGATTTAAACTGTATCTGTTATTGCACTTTTAAGGTTTAATCACCTTTGTGTGTTACGTACTTATAAATAGATTGGGTGGTTGAAAATGTAACCTGACACCAGAGGTTTGATGAAGCTGTTGTAAACAGGCATACACACGACATTAATGTTAGACAATAAAAACGTTTCGGAAAAGCTTCATAATAGTTCTTACCTTAATTAAAATTGTAAAGGATTGTGTTTGTACTGCACATTTCTTGAAGCTACATATGTTCATACACAGAACATTACATCAAAGTCAATGATAAATACTGATTGTCATCTGTAAATTGTTTCGATTATCATGGTCACATACAAATGAAAACACTCACTAGACTAGTATAAGCATAAAGAAATGCGTAGCTGGGTGCTTGGGTGACTTTAAAATATGCGCGTGCAGAATCATTCTTGATAGTCACATCTAAGTGCACTGCATTCATAGATATAAAGAACCATCGTAGGTAAACAATGCATATAACATCCTCACAAGTTTCTAAAAGACACAAACACAATGTACGCTTCAAGGTTATGAATGAAGCTAATTTACTACATCTTTATGTAAGCCATTTAATAAATTACACCACAACTCGACCCGAAAGCATCCTTTTAGTCAGTGAATGTAAACAGGAAGAGTTTGATAAATGTGTATGTAAGTCATTACATCCCAGTGGTCACACTCCGTCAGAAGACCGTCCAGAAAACGTCTTATTCTTGTCACAACGTCCGCGACTTAAATGCAACGTTGTGATGACGTCTTTTTCTACACGTCATCATCAAACGTTGCACAGACTCTGTGTCACGTTTGATGATGAAGTTGTGGTAACGTTTTACTTAGGTTATTTACTAACATTATAGTTATTATTATAAAATCACTTGAAATAGAAAGAAACGCGAATACTTCGTAGTTTGTATGATCAGTATCAACACACAATGATCGTAGCGAGACGATTGAGTAAAACTGAGATAATTTATTATAGTTTGATAATCAAGATATTAACTGCGGTATAAAACAAGGTATTTCCAAAACAGTTGTTTTTAAAATATTGCATTTAAACAAATTGTTCCAGTAATGGCTATACTAGCATTAACGATATAGCTGTTCTTATTGAAGCGGCAATATAACGATAGTAGTTTTGTATTGCCTCCCCTTATTTTGCAGATTTGTCCGATAGAGGGCAGCATCCTTGATTAAATGAGACAAATTTGTTTTGTATTGTTGACATCGGTAGCATCCAAATTGCTTTACCAATTCATAAATAAAAGATAGTTTACATTATTAATGTTTTTCTTGTTGTATGAAGATGGAATTCACTAGTAAACCCCACCCAATCTTCGTGTTTGTGAGTTTTGATAACATGAACAGTACCTATGAACTGTTGTATAACTATTAAATATATCATATGCTATCTTATATTGAACAGTTCCAAGAATTCCATGGGATGGAAAGGATTATCACAACTTATCGATGGCCAATAATCTAGTGGTATATCACCCAGAAAAACGAAGTATCCAAGTCACTGATCCCGGTCTGTACTTCATCTACTCCTCGATCACCTTCCAGGCACCACATACCGATCTGAATGCGCAGGTATACCATATTCTATTACGGGAGCACTACCTGCTGCCAAAAACAGGGGCAACCATCATGATGATAAATAAATACGGTGGTGGAGATCAATCAAGTGGCTTCTACACAAGTTTCTTATGCGGCGCGTTCAGATTACGTGCGGGTGATGAAGTATTTGTCAAAGTCTCCAACACCTCCTTCGTGTACAACTCCTATTATTCTAACTATCTTGGTCTATATAGGTTCTAAATATACTATAAACACACAACTGCACAATTCTACTAACTTTTCACTTATTATTAAGTTAAAGGTTGTCCGACTAAGTGAATGCTACAGTATCTATTTCCCTGGGTGAGGGGGAGGGGGGTAAATACGGCTAACTTTGGTCATATAGTTTTAAGTGTTTGTTCCTCTGGAACTGTATGAGTCCACGGGTGGTAGGATTTAAACTTGTATAAAATAGATCGTATATCTGATTGCTTGTCATGAAATAAAACCAAAATATAACAGGACTGGGTCCACTTGTATAAAACATCTCAAAGTGAAGGAAAATATCAAGCAATGTATTGTCTATGGGAAATCTTAGACTTGAGGAAATCTCAAGAGTTTTATACAAGTGGGCCCTGGTACTAGAATATTCCACTGAGGACTCGGCCCCTTGGCCATAACATAGAATAATTGTGATCCCCTTCCTATTTTGATATAAACAATGGTGTGTCACGAGGAAAACACTCATAATACCTTGAATTTCCATATGGTCATTGAATCATAACCTTAAAATAAAACTGATTTGGGGTCTGGTGTTGCCCTTGTAGTTTCTTGGTCAAACTAAGTAAATGCTTGAAATCCTACCCTATAACCAGATATGTATACCATTCCTGGGCATATCAACCATCTTAAAACCATTTATTCGCTAGCTGGACATGACGAGACGAATTCTACTAATACTACCATACATGTTTCCAAGATTAGAAAAGGGTTCGGGTTTTGCCCCTGCAGTTCCATCGGCGATACTTCTTTTCTTGTAAATAAGTTGCCATGATTACTTGGGTATCCAGTAAGCGAATAGCCCCCCTCGGGATGTCTAGTTGTGTTTTCCGTTTGATGCTTTTTCATAGCATACGCTGAATTACATTTATGCAACAGCATATATATTTTGATGTTGACAACTGCATCATCCTTTTTGATTTTAATAAAAATTAGAACTAAACAACTTATAGCCAAAAAATATCAACCAATTAAACTGTACATCACTGTGGGAACATAAGATGTGCTAAGATAATGATGCATTCAATAGGATGTCAGATTCATTACATTATACCTTTGTCTCATTATAAATTCAGGCACCTGTCGATATCTTTTATGTATTATGATATGTCTCTTCCCAAGCTTACTGTAACAAAGGTATCGGAGGTATGGTAATATTCAAAATGACGTTTTGCGTTATTCATGTGATTGATTCGAGGCACATAATGAATATACTCGAGTTTATTACAACCCACACAAAAGCACGACCAGTAAAGTTTTTATTATATTTTTCATTTCTTAATTGTTTGTTGTTGTTTTGGTGGGAGGTGTTGGTTTTTTTTTTTTTTTGGGGGGGGGGGGGGGGGGGGGGGCTTATATAGGCATTGCCTATTGTCTAAACCTTTTGTTAACTCAATACAATTTGTTGAACGTTACATTTTTGCTCTGTTTTGTTCTTGAAAAAACCATATTGAAAAAAAAAAAGAAAAAAAAAATCTCATAAATGTCATATAGAATATTTGAACCATTACTGTGGTAACAATTATGATGTGTATGTCTGGTTAATAAAACTACATCACCTAACGGTGCGCACGGCCACAACTCGCGCACCGGAAACCCTCATTCAACGGCGAGTTCCCGCCATGATGGTCACTAGGACAGACAGGACAGTGATGTATCCTTAAAAGTAGGCTCTATTAAGATAAGTTCATGGAACGTGAATCGAGGCCTTCAAAATAAACTAACTGATCAAGGTTTTGTAGATATTTTGTCGAGCTCCGATATAATATTTTTATCGGAATGCTGGATAGATAGAAATAGCGATTTAGACTTCAGTAATTTTCAGGATGAGTTTAGCTTTTTTACATTCCCCCGTGAAAGGGGCAAAGGTGGAGGCCTTGTGCTGCTATATAGAGATGGTATCAATGCATCTATTGTTTCTTATGTAGCAGATACGCTTATTTGGGTTAAGATTAAGCAGTCTGTACACCCAGATATATATATTTGTTTTTCGTACATTCCGCATGATAACAATGTTTACTATACCTTGTATGAAACTGATATTTTTGATACCATAGTTAATGGCATCTCTCATTATTCACAACTGGGTACCGTCATCGTTGCTGGCGACCTTAATAGTAGAATAGGTAATGCGTGCGATTACATCGAGTCTGACAATGCACGTGCTCCAGCTATTCATTTTCTATCTGGTGTACTTGACTATGATGTCGATACTGTCATGCCTATCCGAGTATCTGCCGATCACACTGTGAATACGTTCGGCCGCAAACTTTTACAATTATGTAGAAGTACTGGGCTGCGAGTTTGTAATGGTAGAAAACCTAGTGATATCACTGGTAAACTCACTTTTTTTAATCATTTGGGTTCAAGTGTAATTGACTATGTTCTTATAGATAAAAATTCGTTTGATTTGATCACCGAGTTTAAGGTGCGCGATTTTAATGAATGGTCTGATCATGCACCCATCGATTTCAATTTACGTGTAACAACCAGTTGTATGATTGATGATCCCACTAAAAATGTTATTATTGATAGTAGTGAGAATAGTTTTATCAAGTCTTGTGTGTACAGATGGAATGCTGACGAAGAACAACAGATGAGTATTAATTTGGTTAACAACATTACATTATTAAATCAACTTGTTAATGATATCCAGTCTTCTATTGTCTCAATAGACCACGGAATCGATGATTTTGCAGCCGTGTTATGTGATATATTCAGTCCGTGTTCTAAGACTCTGTTCGTTCCGCGTTCCGGTTTTAAAAAGAAACGTCATCTTCATAAGCCCTGGTTTGACGATAAGTGTAGACGACTATATAATACTTATAGACGTAACCTTGCCTCCTTCAATACAGATAGATCTCCAAATAATAGACTATCACTTGTTGAGTCAAAACGTAGTTATAAACGTTATGTAAGACTAGCCAAACGTAGGTACCTCCGTTCGGAAGGGGACCGTATAAGTATGTTGCGCAGGAAAAATCCAAAATTATTTTATAACTATTTCAAGAGCAAATCTAGTTGTTGTCTCAGTGATCTGGATCTTTCAGACTTTTTTGAACACTTTAAAACTGTATGCGGCGGTATTGTTGATGACGAGATCTTTGATAACGTATCTGCAGACGCTAATGTACCTATTTATGACGAATTGGATAGTCCCATTCTACAAGATGAAATAAAGAATGTTTTAACTAACGCCAAGCTGGGCAAATCACCTGGTAACGATAACATGTTGAATGAATTTTTCGTTAAATTTAAAGAAGTTTTTATTCCAGTTCTTTCAAAATTATTCAATGCTATTCTCGATAAAGGGGAATTCCCATCAAGTTGGTCGAAAGGTATAATTTTTCCATTATTCAAAAAAGGCGACCCCAACGATACGAACAATTATAGAGGAATAACGTTGGTTAGTTGCTTGTCCAAATTATTTACAAGTGTTTTAAACAATAGATTACTAAAATGGTCGGAGCAATTTGATATTATCACTGATGCCCAATTCGGCTTTAAACCTGGTCATGGCACCAACGACGCCATATTTGTCTTGTATGGAATAATAAAAAAAGTGCTTGCTAAAAGACGCAAGCTCTACTGCAGTTTTGTTGACTATCGCAAGGCGTTTGATAGTGTGAATAGAAATAAGTTGTTTTTGAAGCTGTGTAAAAGTGGTATAAGAGGTAAATTTTTGAATATTTTGAAGTCCCTTTATGAAGGGTTAAGGTCATGTGTTAGATACAAATCTGAACTATCTGATTTTTTTGCATGCACGCAAGGCTTGATGCAGGGTGAGGGGTTATCTCCCTTCCTTTACTCTTTGTATGTAAACGATTTGGAGAATGAATTTATTAATACATCATGTGATGCACTTTTTCTAAGAGATATTTCTCTGTTTTTGTTGATGTATGCTGATGATACTGTTCTTTTCTCAGAGTCAGCTTCTGGGTTACAGAAGATGTTAGATACTTTGAAACTATATAGTGATAAATGGCAATTATCTGTCAACATAGAGAAAACAAAAATCGTTGTATTCCGAAATGGTGGTAGAGTTAGTTCAAATGACAAATTCTATTTTGAAAATAATGTAATAGAAATTGTTGATAGTTTTAATTATCTTGGTGTCACGCTATACTTTAATGGTAAGTTTACTAAAACTCAACTTAATATAGCTGAACAAGGACGTAAATGTATGTATAAGATTTTGAAAATATGCAATAACTTAGCTTTAAATGTTGAATCAAAACTTAATGTGTTTGATGTCTACGTATCGCCTGTCCTTAATTACAGCTGTGAAGTGTGGGGTTTTAGCTTGGCTGATCAGATAGAAAAATTACACATTGACTTTTTAAAAAGAATCTTGTATGTTAAAAAGAATACCCCTACGTTTATGTTATACTCTGAACTTGGTCGTTTACCTCTGCAAATTACCTGGAAACTAAGAATAATTAAATATTGGTTAAAATTAACCAAGACTAATAATTGTATTCTAAAGTCATTGTATGACGACATGATTGTTTGTAATCATAATAGCTGTAACTGGCGGTGCCAAGTTAAAAACTTACTAATGTCTACAGGTTTTGGTGATGTTTGGTTAAATCAAAATGTTGTTAACGAAAAAGTATTTTTACATAATTTCAAACAACGTCTCACTGACAACTTTCTTCAATCAATGAACGAGTTTGTGGAAAACTCTTCTAAATGTTATCTGTACAAATTCTTGCTTGACTCGTTTACCTTACAATATTATTTAACAAAATCAATTCCTGTCGTTTATCTTAGGCTTATTTCCAAGTTTCGAATGTTATCCCATCGTTTACGTATAGAAGAAGGCAGATATTGTAATACCCCAAGGGCCCATAGAATTTGTCTACATTGTAACCAAAATCAAATAGAAGATGAATTTCATTTCATTTTAATTTGTCCTCTATACGCAACTTTACGTAAAAAAATTATCAAAAAATATTATTGGAACCGTCCGTCGTCCTATAAACTTGTACAGTTGCTAGCAGTTCGTAATAGGAAAGAACTTTGTCATTTAGGTAAATATTTACAATCAAGTTTACTATTACGCTCGACATAATGTGCATTGTTTAATTATCATGTGCATGCTTTTTCTTTTTATCTCCAGATAAAAACTGATTACTTCTTACTTCATTTGATTGAGATTCTTCCAATCTTTCAATCATGTACATTACTTCAATTAATCATCTCATTAATATTTTTCTTTTGTCATTTGTATTCTCATGTGCGTACAACTGTCCGCCATCTATCAAATCAGCTTGTCTTGTACAATGTAGGTTATGTTACATGTTATTCAATATTTGTGTAATGTTTTCGACACCCTTACATGTACACATTAATTACTCTGTATTATGCTGTTATGCTTATGGGCCGTAAGGCTGAAAGTGAATAAACAATACAATACAATCCAAAAACAAAAAAAAACAAAAAACAAAAAAACTGGAAGGATAGGGCTATAAACGGTTTTATATTGGCAGACCGTACGATAAAGTGCAGAGGTTGCCTATAGTATAGTACACCGAATTTTTGTATTTTTTAAAGGTTCGAGATTTTATGTATTCCTCAATTTTTATGAATAATAAAGAAAATAATCAAAACAAAAGTAACAATTTTATATGTATTTAATTTATAAATACATTTATTATGTGGTCTTTATATAATTACATTGTATATACATATTTTATATGAAAGTATAACGACTTTTATAACGAAGTTTGTTTTATATGTTGTTACACATTTTTAAGTTTTATTTGTTGATTTGTCTCTCCCGCTCTATACATACTTGATTGATTTTATATTTCATGTTTTCATGAACTGTAAACACACTTGTTTTAGCATATTCTCTAGTTTAAGTAATTGGCGCATCCCACCAATATGCATTAGCTATAAATATCCAATACCTTCAATTGGTGCATTCACAACTTCACAATACATGTAGCGCGATTAGATAAGACTTTTTCACTAATTCATTTCGATTCCTCATCCCATTCATTCATTAACTGATAATACCCAAAACCTAGTAACTAGCACAAACAGAAATGACTTAAAACAAACACATATATCACCGATTACTAATTAACACCAGTTAGTAACCAGTATGCTTTTAACATTGCTGCTGTAGATATCTTCTGAACTTTTATATTGTAATAGGCATACTGTGCTGGTTACGTCCGGCATGGTATTTCAGTGAGATAGCACTGTAAAAACGGCATCCGATCTGCGCTACCACAAGGAGGCAGATATACCACCATACCCTATCTCTAGCACACATACACGCATGCATGTATACACAA